GTTTCTGACGCACAGCTCATAGATTGTATTAGAGATAAGCAACATTGTAAACATGCACGTGTACCGATCTGTGACCGCAACTACGTCTCAAGTAATAGTTGAGTCATTTCTAACGGTAAAACAAGCGAACCTTCTAGAAGGATAATTGCGTCACCATCGGAGATTATAAAAAGCCGGAGGACTACCAAACGGTGCTTATTTCTTGACTAGAAGCCAAACAGTTCACATCACTTTTATCTAAAATATCAATTGTGTATTAAGTGTAACCAAGTAATGAATTAAATAAAAATTAATAAAAGTCTTCAGATGTTTGATTAAATATTCCACAGTGAAGCTTAGCAGCAGAAGAACCTAAATTTTAATTGTTGACATCGTTGGACGCAACATAACTGTTGGTGACGGCCTCAACATAAATTGTTGTTAGCCCAGGGGTGCACAACAATATATATATATATATATATATATATATATATATATATACATATACATACACACACATTTATACATGCACATACATGTCTATATATATACATACATATATACATATAGACATATACATACATACACATATGCATATGTACATACATATATACATATACAATTATACATATACATAAATATATACATATACATAAACACGTATTTATGTAAAGCAAACAAAATATTTAAGAATAGACTTACATTCGTTGGTAGGTTATATCTAAGATGTGTACACAACACTAGAAATTAGCACCCACATTTATACATCTAACTTGTCCACACTATGAATTTTTATCATTTTTTGTAAGATGTAAAAAGAAAAATGATAGTTTTATTTGAACAAAAATGTGAGTAAAATTAAGTAATTTTTGCCACGACTTGTGAAATGTGCAAGTTCCGAGGCTTTACTGGCCAAGCACATGTTGGAGATTTTTGAGGGTCGTTCAAAAAAATTTTTGCCGCGCGTGGTTAGGTAAAGACATTCGAAGTTGACTGGTGATGTTAGGCTAGGTTTGTATGGTCCGAATTAGTTTTGTTCAAGGAGAAGAAAAGAACGTACAATTATAAATGTTCACAATGCACCAAAAAACCAATTCTTGTCACTTTAAATTGAACAATATATAAATTTTCGAATGAGTACTAATGATTTGAATGTTAAATACTGATTCGAAAATTTATATATTGTTCAATTTAAAGTGACAAGAATTGGTTTTTTGGTGCATTGTGAGCATTTATAATTATGAAATAATTAGTATTAATTCAATTACATGTAAGTTCATACCATATCACTTCTTATATATTAGTTTTATTTAATAATTTCTATCTGTTCTTTCAAACTAGATTTCACTGAAGATGACACAAAACAATGTGTCGAAACGTATGGAAAAAATAAAAATGTTTTAAAGTCATACAAATTTTTTAATTGATGCATTGCCCTGAAAACTGAATCTCATATATTTCAACATCAAAATTATATAAAAAATTTAATACATATATATATATATATATATATATATATATATATATATACAAATGTATTCTGAGTGGATAATAGATATTAATTTGGAAATATGAACAAACAACACTCTTTTTTGCACTATTTATTAAATAATAATTTTCACAAACGTTTTGAGACTAGGTTTGTCTCATCATCAGTGTGTTCTAATTTAAAATATGGAAACCTAAGTTAGCATTATGTGTTATCTGTTACAAGTCTACATATATATATATATATATATATATATATATATATATTAAAAAAATAATAATTTCGATGTTGAAATATGTGAGATTCAATCTTCAGGGCAATACATCAATTAAAAACATGTTTAGAGAATTTAAAGTTTGAAAAAGCGAGGAGGGTACATATAGTAAATAAAGATGTCAGCTGTAAGGGTGGACTTAGTTGGTAAGAATTGAGATAAAACTAATTAAAATATTTAAATATAAATAATAAAAAATCAAAAATCGAAACATGATGGGTATTTATTTTAAACGAATGAACTTCGAAACATTGTTCAAAACTACTTCAATCGAGTATCAATTCTCTTATTTATACTATTTTTATAAATGTGTATAAAGCATGATTCTGAAAAGCGTATAAGCCTAAAGTCTAGTAATCGGTCATAACAATAAAAATGTCGCGCAAAGGATTCGCAATTCGTTTTACGCATGTGTAAAATCTTGGTAAATATATTTAAAAAAAATCTTTTCTCCATTATGTATTCAACCAGTTTACGAACAACTCATATATTACACACTATCTATTTGTGATTTTTTTAAGTTAGACTTTTGTGATATATTGTTTAATTACAAGTTTAATGTTTATATTACATAGTGTAGTGCATTACCATATCCTGATACTATGGACTATTAGAATTTTCTAATTTAACACTAAGATTAGCTAATTGTAAATACTTTTCACTCTTTCAATTTTTTGCTTTTCACTCCAATTCAATTGTTTTAGTTTTTAATTTTATTTTTAGTTTCCACTGAATGAATGAACGCTAGGATTATAGCCGAAACGTATGGATGCAAATTAAATTTTTGAAACAAGTTCATGTTTTTTATTGATGTTATGCCAGATTTCCAGACTTTGATAATTATTTATATATATGTATATATATATATATATATATATATATATATATATATTCAGTTTTCAGGGCAATACATCAATTAAAAAATTTGTATGACTTTAAAACATTTTTATTTTTTCCATACGTTTCGACACATTGTTTTGTGTCATCTTCAGTGGACTCTAGATTGAAAGAACAGATAGAAATTATTAAATAAAACTAAAATATAAGAAGTGATATGGTATGAACTTACATGTAATTGAATTAATCCTAATTATTTCATATTATAAATGTTCACAATGCACAATCCTAATTATTTCATATTATAAATGTTCACAATGCAACAACTCCCTCTTAATAAGCCTGGACGTAGTATCTCTTTTCACAAATGTCCCACTAGAACTAATTTTAGAGTCAATCACAGATAGATGGGATGAGATTTCTTGCCACACTACCCTTTCTCTTCATTGGTTTCGAGAGTCCATTAAATTCATAGTCGCGAATCCTTATTTTGAATTCAATTCACAATTTTATACACAAATTTTTGGTACCCCCATGGGATCGCCTATCTCACCTGCTCTTGCTGAACTCTCTTTACAACACCTCGAAAAAAACGTTTTTAAACTATCTAATGTTGAATTTTTTCTTTACTACAGATATGTTGATGATATAATTACTTGCATTCCTGAAAATAATTTTGATTCTTTACTAAAAAATTTTAACTCCTTTAATAAACACCTCACCTTCACCTTCGAAAAAGAACACAATAGGTCAATTAGCTTTTTAGATGTAAATATCATAAAAACTCCGGAAAATAAAATTATTACTAACTGGTACCAAAAACCAACGTGGTCTGGCAGATATCTCAATTTCCATTCTTATCATCCCACTAACATGAAAATCGGTACTATTATCAATTTAGTTGATCATGCTATTCTCTTGTCAGATAAAAAATTTTGGCCTTTTAACTTATCTCTAATCCACAGAACCCTATTAAATAATTGCTATCCTCCACATCTTATAAAATCAGTAATAAACAACAGACTTTCCGTCCTTAACACAAAACATAATCATCCTTCCCTCGAGTCTCAGAAAAAAGAAGAAAATAAGTTTATTGGCACTATTTGTCTCCCTTACATTAAAAATCTCTTTCCTATTTGGAAAAAACTGTTTGAATTCGCGGATTTGCGTTTAGTTTGCAATATTGATCAGACCCTTAACTTTTTATTTTCGAACTTAAAATCACCGACAAGTTTAGATCGTATTTCTAACATCGTGTATAAAATTGACTGTACAAATTGTGAGGCCACTTATATTGGCGAAACTGGACAACATCTAAAAAAACGTCTTAGACAACATTATAACAATTCCAAAAATAAAAATCAAAATCAAACAATGATAACTGACCACATACAAAGTTTCAATCATATTTTCAATTTTCATGTGGCCACAATTTTATATCACGAATCGAATACATCTCAGAGACGCTTTTCAGAATCTTGTCTGATACACCTTTATAAAAATAGTTTAAACAAAAGATTGGATACTTCCTCACTGTGCGAGAATTACCAAGCAGTCTTAAACAATGTCTCGAAATTCATACCTTTAAAATAGTTACCTATCATGATCGAAGTTTAATTATATTAATTTTAATGCCAATTTTTCTTTATATTTATTTATTTTTTTTTTCTTTTAATTTTTATCTCAATTTTACAAATTATGTCCACCCTCACAATGGTCATGTTTTTATATTTCACTATATGTACCCTCTCGCGTTGTCAAATCTTAAATTCTTTGGTCAGTTCGTTTTCTTGGTACCTAACCCTCAACACGCGGTTTGCACATTGACGTACTTTCAGTCGTCACCCGTGCATCGGAGCACAGAAATGTACGGCGTGATGTACTTTACAAATTCATAAAAAATCTCATTCAAAAATTTATATATTGTTCAATTTAAAATGACAAGGATTGGTTTTTTGTTGCATTGTGAACATTTATAATATGAAATAATTAGGATTGTGCATTGTGAACATTTATAATATGAAATAATTAGGATTAATTCAATTACATGTAAGTTCATACCATATCACTTCTTATATTTTAGTTTTATTTAATAATTTCTATCTGTTCTTTCAATCTAGAGTCCACTAAAGATGAAACAAAACAATGTGTCGAAACGTATGGAAAAAATAAAAATGTTTTAAAGTCATACAAATTTTTTAATTGATGTATTGCCCTGAAAACTGAATATCACATATTTCAACATCAAAATTATATAAAAAATTTAATATATATATATATATATATATATATATATACATATATATATTCTTTGACTCAGCATGTTTGCTTTTTTATATTCATATAACTTGCTGTTACTTTAAAGATTTCTTTATTCGACTGCAGAAGGTTACGAGTACTTCAATTTTTTCTTGTCCTTAGATGCAGGCACTTTTTCCATGGTGTTTGTTTGAGAAAGTGGTTATACGTTCAAGATAGCTGCCCATTGTGCCATGAGTTGCTTCATGCCGAGCGTGAGAACTAAGTGACTTTGTACTAGGATAACATTCAGACTTTTATAATTAAGACATTTGGAAGATGTGTAATTTGGGATATCAGGAATAGGTTATGAGAATTTAAATTACTTGTATATACTGTGAATTGTGCACAATGAAATTATGTGAACTTGGAAACTTCATTTGAATAGAATAGAAAACGGTATTTGCAAATAAGTGTTTTGCAGAGGGTGCTTGTAATATATATTACTAGTAGCGTTAAATAAGTGAATTATAATAGAAAAGTGTATATATATATATATATATATATATTTAACTCAATATTTTTTATCCTGTCTAATAATTGTAACTACAAAAAGGCTGTAATTTTTAAATGTATTTTAGAGATTACAATATAATATTAGTTGAAAAATTTGTCATCAATATCACCATGCAATCGGCTTATAAAACAGAGTTTGTAGTTTGAATTATTCAAATGGCACTTTAACTTTACATCTTTACTTTACTATTCCACTTTTTATCATACAGTAATATTGAAATAAAATTTTTGATATACTCACTGAAATTTAATCAAATCTTTGGCATTATAATATATGTAAATTTTTGCACACATATTTTTAGAATATTTATTTTTAATGAACTGAAATTTATACAAAACCTTGGTATTATAATATATGTAAATTTTTGCACAAATATTTTTAGAATATTTATTTTTAATTATAATTGAAATGTCAATTTTATGTTTTATGGAAGTACATATTGCCACTTTACTTAATTTATGTAAAACCAAAATTTAAAATATTAAGACTCATGGAGAACCATCGGAATCATCATTTGGTTCAGAGCATTTGATCAAATTAGTTGTTTTTTCAAGTTGCTGTTTCCTTTGATGGCTTCAATTCACCTGAGTGAGTAATTAGCTCTGAACCAGTATAGTATGTTTGCTATTATTATATCTTATGAGAATATGAACAGCAAACATAATCAATTGGAGCTTATTCACAAGTCATTGGTATAAGTATTATTTCTAATTTATTATTTAAAAATTTTAATTAATAACCTAAATTATATGGCTATTTTTAAGCATATGTACTTAACTGGTCTTTGTGGAGTGCAAGGTGGTCTTAATAAAATAAACTTTTCTTCAGTGTTTCACAGAATCGAATTAAAAAACTAATTTTCAACATATTGTTAAAAATTGTACTTGAAATTTACTTTTTTCATAATAATTGTATTAAAAAAAATAGATATCTTTAATATGTTTATTATATTTACATTTTCATTTTACTTTTCTTCTATTGATTTGAAAAAAAATCTTACTAATAATGCAGAATGATACGAAAATATGTAGATTAGAACAATGTACATAACTGATTAAACAAAAAATCTGGAATCACAATTCTTAATATAATTCAAATAATATAGTGATGTTTAACATTAGCTGATAATTATAAATGATATCAATAATTTGTTAGCTTTTTAGAAGAGCTTTATTGTAAAAATTTTGTGTGAAGAAATTATTTGAAGTTATGATATAATTTTACTACTTCAAAGGAATTTCTAAATTTGTTACTATTGAAAAATATATGAAACATGAATGTCAGTGATATTGTAGGCGCTTTGGCCACTCAACAAGTATGTATGTTCATATTAGATGACTTTTATTGAAACTTATTTTTCATATTCATCAAATTATTGTTAGCAATTTTGAATATGAATAATTTCATTCTAATTCGGAAAGAAATCAGCAGAAATCTTCAGTCCCAGTAAATCGAAAACTGTCTGCAATATTCATTATCACATAATACGGCTTACTTATAAGTTTATAAATCACATTTACAAGTACCCATGGGATTCGAAAAATAGGTGGGGAGATTGTAATTAACCAGCTGGGTCTAAATATTTCAAAATATGTTATGTTTTATTTATGGAATATATATATATATATATATATATATATATATATATATATATAAAATGCTAAATATGAACAATACAACACTCAGGTTTTTAACACACTCTTTATTTGGTAATTACAGACGTTTCGAGACCATGGTATGCCCCATCTTCAGTGTAATTTCAAAAACAGTTACTTATATACTATACATTCTTTAGTATTTTATTTAAATTACATTTAATTTTTGATATACAGAAAACACCAACTATTCCTTGCAATGCTTGACTCAGTACTAAAACATGTGACTCTTACAGAAATATTCTAAACAAATCTTAAGCATCGAGATGGGATTGCAAGGGATAGTTGGTGATTTTTGTATCTCAAAAATTAATTGTAATTTAAATAAAATATTAAAGAATGTATACTATATAAGTAACTGTTTTTGAAATTACCATATCATACCATACCAAGGTCTCGAAACGTCTGTAATTACCAAATAAAGTGTGTCTTAAAAATCTGAGTGTTGTATTGTTCATATTTAACATTCAATATTCGTTCCACTCATATCACAGAATTCTATAATATATATATAATTTATATTATATATTATTATATATATTTATATTTATATATATATATATATATATATATATTTGAATAGTCTTGAATTTGATGTTGATGTATATGTTTAATTTGAGTTAAAAAGTCGGGCGTTAAATCAATAAAAATAGTATGGGAGTTTTTTAAAAATTTCTTTATTTAAAATCCTTACGTTTCGGCTAGCATCTTAGCCTTCATTCAGTGGTAATTAATTTAACTATAAAAATTAAAACTAAATAAATAATATGTAAGAAATTTCATAGAAAAACAATAATAATAATAATAAAACACTATTCTAATATAACATATGAAATGATGATTAATCCATGGTATGAGTATGTGCACATTGATACGTATGTATGTGTGATGTACCATGGATTAATCATGGTTTCATATCTTATATTAGCACACTATAGGCGGGCCCCGTAAAAATACTCATCAGACCAACCTGATATGTGTAACGGGCAAATCGTGAGTAACACGAGTACGCTTTGCGTCGCCTCGCATGAACGCAACTATTTTTTTATAACTCAATTTAAAAAAAAAACACATGGTTGTATAAAACATAATAAATTTATTTAAATAATACATAATTAAACATAAAAATAACAAAAAAATTAATAAAAGTAGATATATAAACTAAACAGTTTTACTTACATTAGTACTTTTTACATGTGTGAAATTTATGAAAACATTTACCCTCATGAAGTGGTACATTACATAACTGGCACATAAACACGTTAAACTCTTTTTTATGAGTAGCACGAACATGGCATTGTCTTTGGGGATGTATTTTCTTGCCTCCCGTTATTTTTACAATATTATGTTTACTGGCATCCAGTAACTTCTTTGGGAAATTATTTCTTCTATAAGATGTATTGGGTCCGGGATCATCGGTGTTATCTTCAACATTTTCACTTATCCATACTTTGGCCACATCTTGCAGAAAAGTTTGGTATTTTATTTTTGAATTTGCATTTAGAGTTTGAAAAACTTTAAAAGCATTAAAAAAAGCTCCATTAATTAAAAACATCACTGTCTTTTTTGTCGATTTTTTTGTGCGTCATATAATAGAATAATATGATAGGCACTGATCAGCTCGATCAACACCTTTCATAAATTTATTAAACTCTACAACGTCTTTAAAACGATCTTGGCTTCCAAATATTTTGTTTTGTATTCCAATCTACATTTCTGCTTTGTATAACACTTGCTGAATGAATTGTTGATATCCTTTGAACCAGTCTTTTTGATTGCCAACATTGTACAAGAATATCTCCTCGGCGACGAAACACAGATTCACCTCTTCTCAGGGTTATATCTTGTAAACATGGAGGAAGTCCTCTATTTTTGCGTATAGTACCACAACTTCGAATTCCATGTTGTAAAAGGACTTGACACGTATCGACTCTATTGTAATAGTTGTCCATATAGACATGATGCCACAAGTTTTTATAGGGCTGTAGAAGGCGTATAATTGTATCCTGAAGCCGACTTCCTTCACCATGATAAATTTCATAATTGCATATATATCCTGCTTTTGCTTCACAAACCATTTGAATTAGAATTCCATATTTGTTAATTTTTGAAGCATTATACCTTGAATAATAAGCGACCTCTCCACGGCATAATACTTTCATCTAATGACAAGCCTCGTGTTGGCTTGTAAACTTGTTCAAATTTTGTTTTGAAATAAGACACTATTGGACGTACTTTATTAATGCGATCTCTTTCATTGGTGTTATTTTCATTATTAGAAAAATACCAAGCATACCATATTTGGTGAAAACGGTCTCTACTCATCACTTGGGCAAAAATTGGGGTTTCAATTGTTCTGTCTGTGGACCAGTATTCATCCCTACTCTCCTTACGAACTCTGCTCGTAAGCAAAAGTAATTCCAACATCTTTTTTTAAATTCTACTGCAGATACGTCTTTCCATTTCAAAGATTTTGCATTGTCTTTAAAACGATCAATATTTTGTGAATAATAACGATTACTTTCTTCAGCCATATAGTGAAACAAATCACTACCCAAAAATAGCTGAATCACTTCACTTACACTTTGTGGATTATTTGGTTTCAAAACAACACCACTTTGACCTAAAAATGGTTCAATAATTGGAGGATTGTTAAAATCTGACCACTCCACTTCTTCATTGTCACTACCTTCAGAATCACTGGACATAATCTGTAAAACTCCTCTAAACTCTCGTCTTCTAGGATGAAAAAAATCTTCATCACTCTCACATTTACTATCAAAATCAGTGATATCCAAATCACTTTCAATTTGTGACAAATCATCGGCGTAAACCTCACTATCGCTATCCGATGCCATTATTTTATTATTGCTAATAATAATTTAAAAAAAAAGATGTTGAACCATATAAATCTTACTAATAACTGAAGCATTTTATAAAATATATATTGAACACTCTTTTGTTGTAAATTCTGCATATTTATCTTCAAAATAAATTGAACATAAAAAGAAACTTGAAGATAAAACATATTGTTTCTTATCCTTATCTTTATTCTAAAAGTCTTTTAATACCAAATGTCAATTGAATCTCGAAAAAAGTACCTGCTATTCTTTCAATATCATATGCAAACCGATCCGATAAAAGTATTTTGACCAGCTTACAAAGTTAGTCTATTCAAAGCGTAATAATACCATGCCCGTCGATAAGCAGCAGTCCTCGCAGAGCGTATTTTTACGGGGCCCGCCTATAATGTGTTAGGATACAAAATTTTAAGTGTTTTTATATTATTATTATTGTTTTTCTATGAAATTTCTTACATATTATTTATTTAGTTATAATTTTTATAGTTAAATTGATTACCACTGAATGAAGGCTAAGATGCTAACCGAAACGTATGGATTTTAAATAAATAAATTTTTAAAAAACTCTCATACTATTTTTATTGATGTAACGCCCGACTTTTTAACTCAAATTAAACATATATATATATATATATATATATATATATATATATATATATATATATATGTTTAATTTGATATATATATATATATATATATATATATATATATATATATATATGGGTATGTAATTGAATCTCGGTAATCCGACACTAATAAAAACCGAAGTCATAATTTTTGACATTAACTGTAAAATTTCCAATTAAAAAAAAAAGTGCAGCGCTTCGTCCGCGACGGTGTCGGATTATTGTAGGTGTCGCTCTATCAAAGTGTCGGATTAGTGAGATTCTACTATATGTATGTAAATATGCAAAATAAATATATCATCTTTTTATTTTATATAATTTTATTTATTACTTTAATTATTTTCAAAATATTCATTTTTAATGTAAGTATGTTTGAATTGATAGTTAATTGTACATAATATAATTCAAATATTTTAATCATCCAATATTTTTAACAGAAGATTGAATGCTTATTTTTCTAAAGAATAAATGTGTGAACTGTTGTAGCAAACTACGTTAATTATAATTAGTATCAGCAAAAACTTTCAAATTATGTTCAAGGACGTTGATGAAACATTCTATGTTTTAGAATAATCAGTTTTGTACAATTAGCGCATCAATAATTTTAAATGAATGAAAAATAAATGTTGTTTTGGGGATTATTATGGTTGAATTTAAATATATAAAATTTGTTATTTATCTCATGTTTTATTTTGTATTGTTTTCTTAAATCTTAACCAATAGATGCATTTGAATTTCACAATTACTTGTTTTGTAAAAACTGTTCTTTAGTGGTACAAAATTGTATATTTGAGCCAACATTGAATTGAAATTTTATTGGTTATTTTTGCAAACACTAAATAAAATTTGGCAGTTATGAACTTTATTAACCAAGAATTATCTTTCTGTATATTTTATATTATTATTGTCTTCATTAATCATCGTTCACAAAATATAGGAACCTACAAATTTTATATTTTTTATATTTTTATTTATATACACCTTTTTCACTTTTCATGCTAATATTTCTAATATTTTAAGTTATGCGCCTGTATTTATATTTCCAGATATATTATTCTGAAATAAGTAATTAATTGAAAACCAGATCTTTATAATTCTGCAACAGATGATAAGCAGATACTGTGCAGCACGTCGTGGTACGAACTACAGTGCTTCTGTCAGCACGCTCAAAGTTGGCCTTCACTGTTTCGTAATAACGACCATCACTAGAATTTTACATAAAACTTAATAAATATAGAATCAACCAAAGAATAATTTTAATATTCTGAAACATACTTTACCTCAAAACCAAACATTTCATTTTGAGACATTTTACTCGAAGAAGATCAATCGCTTTCTGACTTTTGTCAGAAAATCTAAGATTTTCTGGATCCCACCTAGAAGTTTAAACATGCAAAGCTAACTTACTAAGGAATATGACCACCATTAAGGAATTACGAGGAATTTATTTACCTCAATTCTAATCTTTCCAGTAATGGACATCCATTGGCGATGGCATCCATAAGTTGATCAACATGAATGTTTACACCTAATCTTTCGTTTGTTCCCATAACTAATATTCTTGAATTGTAAAATATTATTTATTTACCTTGCGGTCAATCAAAAAATTTATCACACACATAGATATTTTGTATGCTTCTGCTGAGAAAAGATGAAAGATCGAAAAGCAAGAAAGTACAAACTCAGACAATGGCAGAATGGTAGTTATTGAACTAAAAACACTATTTTATAGTTTTTACTATATTAATTAGCATACTTGGCATTTGTAAGAACTGGTAGCACACTCATCCACAGCTGATCAGTGATGTGACCCATTCCGCTCAAAAGTACAGCACTTAGTTGACCACCGTGCCTTGAAAGGAATTTATGCAAAGCTTCATCTGTAAGATTATCACTTCTGTCCAAGTCGAGGGATACCAGAGTTCTGAAAGAAGCGAAGAAAGTGAATTGGAGGAATTTGTGGATATTTATGGTAGAGTTGAGCACGTTGCTTTTTTAACTCTACGTAGAATAAGTTATAGTAATCACAAAAAAATCGAAAATGAAAATGTTTACATATCTTTACGTTTTAAATGTTTCTGAACCTCTTGGCATGCCTTAAAAAAATGTACGTATGCATGCGTGTGTGCGTATGTTCGGATACAAATTTTCGTACACGGAACAACCGATGGGAATTATTCAAAAAATATTCGGTTCGTATTTCATAGGAAGTTGTTTTGATTAGTTTTTTTTGCTAAAAAAGATTTCAGAAAAATAATTACTTTTTTGAAAAAAAAAGTTTTTTTTGCATAGAAACGCAATATCGAAGCGCGTAAGCGCCGCATTGCCGTCTAACGGACAACCGATGTTACGAAACCCACAGAAATGTAACAAAATTGATACCCATTATTAAAATCTCCATAAAATATCTGATAATTTGATGTGCATATGTCCAATGATCATTTTTGACCTTAAAATGGTATTTTTTTACGTTTTTTACTAGATCTCCGAAACAGCTAGACCTTCCCTCCCAAAAATTTAATCAGTTCTTCATATTGTCAATACAAGTAAAATGTTTTTGGAATTATTGAAATCGGACGTCCCGTTCTCTTAAAAACTGAGTTACCGTTTTTGGCACTTTTTGCCCCGTATCTTCGAAACGGCTAGACCTGCCTATGTCAGAAACTAATCAACATGTTTACCTATTAAGGGGTTATGGGTACTTGGAGGCACGAAAAAATGAGAATTTTCAGTATTTTTTTTGTTTTTTAAACGATGTTTTTTACAAAAATATTAATACGGTATTATTATACAATGTTTTGACTCGAAGTAACAAAAATTTCAGAAAAATAAAATAAATATTCCCAAAGTTATAGCTGTTTTTGTTGACCCTGTTTCAAAAAACGGTCCTGGCAGTGACCATCATAACTCCTTAGAAATTCATCTAAAATCAATCAAATAAAAAAAATAGTTTCATAAATAGATAATCCTAGGCCCGATCGAAGGTTTTCTTTTTTTGCAAAAATTAACAAAATGGCAGCATCAGAAACAAAAAATCTAGATTTTTGGGTAAAAAATCAACAGTTAATTGGTCTTAAAAAATTGAAATTTTTGAAAAAATAAAAATCCTTCGATCAGGCCCGAGATTATTATGTATTCTAAAAGCTGTATAAATTTCATTAAAATTATTTTTTTTGAGTTACAGTGGTCACCGGTTCAAAAATCATTGAGGAAAACGCGTTTAAAGTTTCACATTGGATTTGCGTACACATTGGATTTGCGTACCAATTTTTCAGCATACCAATGGGAACTATATTTACAATTAGGTCCTAGGGTATCCATAATCAATATTATTGATTATATATATATGTATTCAGCAATTTGTACGATAGTAGAACTAGTATTCACGGTTTTTAGGCATATTTTTTACACTAGTTAGTTGGAGCTTTCAATTTTTTCTGGTTATGGATTCAATCTTGAGCTACACATCTTGAAAGTAAATTATCATTGCTGAGATCATCGTAAATCGCTTTGAAAGCTTCTAAAATATCAGGAGGTGAGGGAGAATAATCTTGAGTATAAGTATCGAGCTCTCCACTTGCGTCAACGCGCTGGTAAGAGTCCAATAACTCAAAAAGTAATCATCCGATCAACTTGAAATTTTCAGAGAGCATTTTCAAGATATTACATTTAATGAAAATGCAAAAAAATAAAAATCGATTTTTCAAATATTCCAAGTACCCCTAACCCCTTAATAGAAATATCAATAGGTTTCACCGTGTTGCCGAAATCGTCGATAAAAATTTGACACACATACACACACATACATCCATTTTTTCTAAGGTATGCCAAAATGTTCAGAAACGTCTGAAACGTAAAGGTGTATAAAAATTTTCATTTTCGATTTCTCTGCGATAGCCATAATTTGCCATACGGGAAGTTAATAAATTAAATTATATAAATGAGTTTTAGAATTTTTATTTTTTTTAGAATTAAAATTAAAATCCGAATCATTTTTGATATTAAAAAAAAATTATTTTAGAAATTAAAAAAAATGTGTTTTTGCCTTTCCTAACAAACTAATTGTTTCCTAAGAAGAAGAATGTATGTTGAATCTTTCGAATCGCATGCTTTGTTCTTTCAAAAACTGCAATTTTTTACACTTTTAGCTTATTATCTCTGAATTCAATTACGAATTGAGTGTTTTTTAACTTCCCGTAGGGTAAATATAGTAAGCGCAAAAAATCGAAAATGAAAGTTTTTATATATCTTTATGTTTAAAAGGTTTCTGAACATTTTGGCATACTTTAGAAAAAAAATGGATGCATTTGTGTGTGTGTGCGTAAACGAATTTTCGTCGATGATTTCGGGACCACGGATCAACCGATTTCAATAATTCATTCAATTCGTAATGATAAGGTGACGTGGTGATTAGTTGTTCGCATAGGCAGGTCTAGCCGTTTCGAAGATATGGCGCAAAAAGAACCAAAAATGGGAATTCAGTTTTTGAGAGAAACGAAACGTTCAATTTGAATAATTCATCAAACATTTTATTTGTATTTATTTGTATTGACTAAACGAAAAACTGTTTGAATTTTTGGATTATTTGTGTCATTTGTGTCATTTTTTGCGTTCCGTACCTAGATTTTTAATTTTTATATGGTTCAAACAAATGTCCTTGACATTTTTGATAGTATGGAATAACCGATTTGTATGATTGAAAAAACATTTGGTTAGCGCGGCGTTTTTGGAAAAGGCATATCTTGCCGTTCCTGAGGTATGGAGCGTAAAGAGTGTAAAAATGGTCATGCAGTTCTTGAGAGAACAATTAGATTAATTCAAAGAATCTTTTGCTTGTGTAACAGTGTGCAAAAAATGGTTTTGCATAAGAATTCGTAGCTTCTGAACTAGTGGGGCGCATGGCATCGTGCTTTAAGGCAAATTGCTGGAACTTTCCGTACCAAAAAGTTTAACATTTTTGAAAAAAATTACTTTGAAAAAATTAGATTTTTGAGAATCTATAAATTTTTGAAAAAAAAAATACTTTATTTGAAAAAAAAACTTGGAAAGAAATGTATTTTTTTAGTTTGAAATATTTTGGAAATTTTGAACTTTTTTCAAAGCAATCGCATTGCTTTAGCTGCATAGAGATGCAATATCGAAGCGCGTAAGCGCCGCGTCGACGTCTAACGGATAACATTGGTACGGAACCCATAAGATTGTAAACAAAATTTATACTTATTGTTAAAATCTCTATAAAATATAATCTAATGATCATTTTTGACCGCCAAATGACTCATTTTTTTTACTTTTTCCTCCATATCTCCGAAGTCGTTGCACCTGCCTTTCCAAAAATTTGAACACTTTTTCATTCAGTCAATACAAATAAAATGTTTTTTGAATTCTTCAAATCGGACGCTTCGTTCTCTTAAAAACTAAGTTACCGTTTTTGGCACTTTTTGCCCCGTATCTTCGGAACGGCTAGACCTGCCTTCGCCAAAAACTAATCAGCACGTTTCCTTATTAATACGAATCGAATGTTTTCCGAATTATTCAAATCGCTTTATCTGTGTTCCCGAAATCGTCGACGAAAATTTGTATCCGAACATACACACATACACGCACACACATACACACACACACTTACATCCATTTTTTCTAAGATATGCCAAAATGTTCAGAAGGTTTTGAACGTAAAGATATATAAAAATTTTCATTTTCGATTTTTTTGCGATTACTATAACTTGCCCTACGGGAAGTTAAAAAATTCCAAAAAAAATCGAACTTTTAAAAAAATGACGAATTTTTAATTACAGTACAGGAAGTTTCAGCAATGTGCTTTTAAGGCACGACGCCTTGATCCACTATTTGAATCATTCAAATCGGATGCACTGTTCTCTCAATCTTAATTTCTCTTTTTTGCACTTCGTATCTCGGAAACGACTGAACCGACCTTTCCCAAAAAATAATCAGCACATCTCCCTATCAATTGGAATCGATTACTGTTTGAATTAACCAAATCGGTTGGGCTGTGTTCCTAAAAACGTCGACAAAAAATTGTATCTACACATTCATTACTTACTATTAGTTAGTTAAAATATTTTACTAAATAATATACAAAGTTTTTCCGAATATTTTAAAATTTTTAAAATTTCGAAGTTTCCTTATATGAAAAGGAAATTTCCTTATATATTAAGAAATGTTTGACTTTAAAGATTATTAGAAAAGGTTAGAAAGAGAATTAACTAAAACTATTATATTATATAGATTAAGCTTGCAAGATTATTATAGGACAACATTATGCATCGTAGAACGTAATTTATAAAATAATCGGTACCACGAGTTTGCTCCTAATTTCGTGATAAAATTTAGCGCCTGACATAATTCTGTACATCGTTGTACACTATTCCGCAATAGCTTTGAAGCATACATTTTTCATCATAGCGCCTTGATAAAATCGTAGCGTCTTGAATAAAATACAACAAATGTGGCTATTACATAATAATACTTCTATATGATTTTAAACTACTTTTTTATATATTTTTATGCAAATTCTGAATTGTTTTTGGCAACGTGCCGATTAGGTTTTGGCCAAAGCAGGTCCAGCCGTTTCAAAAAGTGATAAAAATTAATATTCAGTTTTTGAAAGAACGGAGTGCCCGATTTGAATGTTTGAAAAAACATTTTACTTGTATGGACCGAATCGATAATTGACTAAATTTTTGGGAAGGCAGTTCCAGCGTTTTCGGAGATCCAGAAACAAAGTATAAAAGACGGTATTTGGTAATCAAAAATTATCATTGTGCATATCAACGTATCTGATATTTTATAGAGATTTTAATAATATGTACATATTTTGTGTCTTTTTTGGGTTCCGTACCAACTTTTTAATTTTAAAGTTTACTTATACGATTGAAACAAATGTCCTCGATATTTTCGACAGCA